CCTTAGTATTTCTCGTGTGTTACGTCCAAGGCTCTGCACGCATGGAACCTGAGGGAGTGAACGTAACGCGGACCGAATCGCCGTATCGTCAGGTCCAAGCTCCGGACCGCAAGGGAGCTAGGGAAAGGACTGACTCAACGGGAGGCACTTCATCCTTAGGGAGACTTCGTCCTTAGGCTCTAGGAGAGCCGGTGGTCTAAAGGGGGACGAAGTGGAAGCATCTCTCGAGGTCGACGCTCCGCTGAACGGACCTCGAGGCGAACGTACGCGCTAAAGGCGCAAACTGGATCAGGGCACATTTTGACACCAGATGTGCCAGTGCGTTCGATGCTCTTATTTTCGGCCTTGAAAATGAATTCAAATAGCCGGGGATAAGAGCAAGTGCAATCGTGGTCTTGTCGTTATGAATATAAGGAGGCGTTGTTCGGAAATAAAATAGTCAGAGTTTTAATTTACATTATATATTTAAAATTAAAGTTAGCATTACATAGTTGGTTATTTACGATGTAATTGAATGATGCGTGTAAGTGCGTGATTGATGTAGTGTGACAGAAGGGAGAATTTACGGAGAGGATAGCGAGAGAATAAAAAGGAAAGGTGAGTGGATCTGAGAGGATTTGGCCTGATTTTCTTTGGACGATGAGATAGTATTAGCGGGCGGACACGTCCGACTGGTCGACCGGAGCGAACAATTATCGCGAGGGGAATAGCGACAGGGATTGAAATTAGCGTGAACAGACTGCAATGTTTCATTTCCTTTTACATGGGAACTTAAAAAGAGAATGAGAAAGAAAGAAAGAAATAAAAAGAATCAAATAAAAATTAATGAATAATAAAAAGAAACTAAAGAAATATTGAAATGAATTACTGAAAGAAAAAACGAGGGGGATTAGAGAATAGAAATATACTGCCTATTACTGAGATGCTGATCGGTGGAAGTTCTCTGGGCAGGATGTGTGAGGTTGATGATGTTTCTTCAGCACTGACTCTAAATCTTTAAATCTCGCTGGCCAAGTAAGCGAGGTTGATAATTTTTCTCCCGCACTGCTTCTAAGTTCTGGACTTTAACGGATTGATTCCGAAAAGAAATGTGTTATTTAGCGGTTGACTCCGGGAAAAGATTCTGTCTGTCTCCGTCTGTCTGTCTCTGTATTAACTTCCGAAAAAATTCTCTCTGTGAGGGCCGCGGAACCGCGGTTTATTGTATATTGGTTTTCCCTTGATTGGTTCTAATTAGGTGGTGGGGCACTTTTCTGGCTTCTGGATTGGTCGAGTTTGTGGGGGAGGAAAGGAGTCAGTTTTGTGTCAATGTCCTAATTTTACAATCCTCTTTAATTTTGGGGAAATGAACGAGCATCGATTAAGACGAGCGCACGTGCACTGTCGGAATGGGCCCGTCAAACAACCCCCCCCCCCCCCCCTGGACGTCGCGTGTCACTTTTATATTTTATGGTCGCGGACATCGTGAGAATCGTCCGCGACTTAGCTGTCAGAAAAATGTTTAGGCGTCAATATCGGGCTTTCACTGACGTTAGTTATCATTCTTAATAGCGTTGTCCAAGGAGGATGTCATCGACGATGATCATTAACTCCCTGCGTTCACCGATTTTAACTTTATTTTATCTGACGTTAATGAGGAGATACTGAAGTCTTTGCTTTTAATTTTTCGTGAGAAAGGTTTTTATTACTTTTTAACTGTCTTACACGTTGATAACTCCAGGTCTCCGTGAGAAAGAAAAAAAACTGCGTGAGTCCGTTGGACGTAACACGTGTATGTCTCTCGGTTTGATTAATTATAACAATTACAATTTATTTACAGGCACGTCCATCTACAACTATGCCTTATATCACGCAAACTAAACAAAGTATTCAAAGTACAAATGTTAATACAGATGGTATGGTACTTTAACAAAGCTTTAGGTTTCTGTATATCAATGCATCATTTGATTGGAGGTTATTGGAGTATATGGACATTTACTTATGCCATCGTTTATTTAAATGACAGTTTTGAATTCGTTTTAATGACTATATTATTTCTCACATCACACTACATATGTCAAACTGTTTATAATAAGGTATATATTATAACAGAACAAAAGCATTAATAACTATTTATAACTAGAATAAGCACAAGCAACAATGAAATTACACATGTCAAAGTTTTATTTGAAATCTGGTTCATTGAATGCAAAGTTTTCAGTTTTACTACTAACTTTGGTAATTATATACATTAACGGACACTACGTCGATGACCTTGACCTTGACATATGTTTTCATGATGGCCCTGAGTTACCTCCGACAGGTTTTTGGTGGCGATCGATCTTCGTTAAAAAGTTATTAACAAAGAAAATTCAACTATAACACGAAGATTTCCTGCTTTAAAATATGTTTGATAGTTGTGCACTGTAAGGGACGCTGCGCCGTACCGACGACCGCTAGTTTGACATATGTTGTCTGTTACGTATTCTATGGCGATCCTTCTTTCGGTAATTGCTACCTTAGTTTACGTTGATACGTCGCATGGCGCTAGCGTCGATGGCACTAGGGAGAGCGTGTGGCGCACCGGGCCTCGGGAGATAGATAGGCACTTTTTTAAACTTTCCTTCTTGTTGATCACAAGACACGTTGCGAACATTGTACATCCTGCGTACTCAACTTAAGATAGTGATCAAAATAAACGCATTCCTTTCTTACGAAGTGTGTGTTAGTCATTGCACCAAACTAAATAACGGATATGCATATTGCATGGTATCCGTTCGTCGTTTTCATGAACGGCAAAACCTTAACACAATAAATTTGGTCCTTCGAGCCGGATCCACGCCATTTTGGATTCGAAAACTGGTGTAAACGCACAACATCGTAAGGCGTAATCTACAATAAAGGGAATGACGCTCAAGACCATCAGAGCAGTATAAACAGCATCCACGAACTTGTGCATGTTCAGCACAACAAAGGACGTAAGAGGGATTCGCTAAACGCCATTTGGATATCTGACACGAGATTGTCTTCGATACTATTCAAGCTACCAGGCAACTAACCACAAGCAGTTCAGCAATAACGAGTATCAAGTTTATGAACGAACATCCGCAGGAACAACGACGACCATCATCTAGCGCAATTGTATGTAAGGTTAAGTGTCTGTATCACTAATTTAGCAAAATGGATATCGATTCATTAAAGGTTAAGCGAAGATCAATCAAAGCTTCTTGTACGCGCATAAAAACTTATGTTAATTCAATTCAAGATGTCAATCAGGAAGTATGTATACAGTTACAGGAGGGACAAGTTAACGGCTTTCTGGGATGCTTTCGAGCATACTCAATTTAGTATTGAAGTATTAGAGCCAGATCTTGAATCGAACGAACACGAATTGTTTGAAGCTGCATATTATGGTTTAATGACTCGAATAATCAATTTAATAGATACCTTTCAAGCGGCACAAGTTCAACAGCAAACGCCAGCCGTTAATATTGTGTCTAATCAAGACACTTTACAAAGAAATTCCAATATTAAACTTCCTCGTTTGAATTTACCAGTATTTTCAGGAAAGTATTCAGAATGGACACCTTTCGCTCAAATGTTTCGCACCATAATTTCAATAGCAAGTTAACCAATATTGAAAAATTCCAGTATTTACGTGCGTCATTATCAGGTGACGCAGCAGATGTAGTCGAGTCATTAGATCTGACGGAAGAGAATTTTACGGTTGCTTGGCGTATATTATCAGAACGATATGATCGAATTCGCATTATTGTTCAAGCTCATGTTCAAGCAATTATTGATATCCCTAGCATTAAGAAGGAAAGTCATTCCGAACTCAAGGCATTAATTAATACCGCTGTCAAGCATGTGAATGCACTGAAATCACTCAAGCGTCCAGTCGATAAGTGGGATGACATCGTTATACAAATCTTGGGAAACAAACTTGATTCTAAATCCTTTCGCGATTGGGAAGATACATTAGATTCAGATCAACTACCCACAATTGATCAATTCATACAATTCTTATTAAAAAAGTGTAACACACTTGAGTCGATTATTAATAAAGAAAGTGCATCCACATCAAACAATAAGGTTAATCAAGCAACAGCTCGCAAATCAACAATAAGTTGTGCTGCATCAGTAACTTCAAAATGTAATTTTTGTGATAAACAAAATCATGTTATTTATTTTTGTCAATCGTTCCTAAAATTACCTGTATTCCGCAGATTAGAGGAGGTGAAAAGGCGCAATTTATGTACAAATTGTCTTCGATCTAAGAGCCATACCGCCGCTCAGTGCACGTCTGGTACATGCAGGACTTGCAGTTTGAAGCACAAGACGCTTTTGCATGTAGATAAGCAAGGGAGCTCAAAGAAGGCAATAGATATTCAACAACAGTCTAATTCTTCTGAAGTTGCCACCTCACAAACTATGGTTACTCACAACCTGAGCAGCCTCAAGGAAAATTATGTCATGTTATCAACTGCAGTGGTTAATACGTTTGATTCAGCGGGAAATAAAACTTCTTGTAAGGCATTGTTGGACAATGGTTCCCAAGCAAATTTGATTACACGTGAATTTCTATCTCAGTTGCGTTTAAAAACCAGGCAACAAAACATGTCTATAGTTGGAATAAACCAATTAGTGAGTAACGCAAACGACATAGTCACTATTAAAATTCAATCTCGCATAAACAATTTCCAATTAACTATTGATTGTATAGTAACAGAAAATATTACTGATTTAGTTCCTATGAGGCATTTAAACAAACTATCTATGAACATACCAAAAAACATTAAACTTGCCGATCCTCAGTTTAATGGCCTTCATCGATTCAATTGTTGCTCGGGGCTGATGTTTTCTGGCGAATTTTGTGCATCGGCCAAATAAAATCGTCTGTCAACAATCCAACCATACAAAAAACACATTTCGGTTGGATACTAGCAGGTTCCATCAATAACAGATATATAAAGGGTGGTGCCGTGGCCTCGATAAATATTTGCTCGACAATTTCCGACATGTCAACTAGTGATCTTGAACAATGCCTAACGAAATTCTGGGATTTTGAACACAATATTTCAGATCAAACCCTTTGGTCACCGAATGACCATGAATGCGAGGAACATTTCTTGCGAACTATTAAACAAAACAGCGAAGGTAGATTTATTGTTACATTGCCAATCAAGACTGCACAATCTAAACAGCTTGGTGAATCCAAAAATATAGCTCTAAAAAGATTTCGTAATTTAGAAAAACGTTTTAAACATAATGATCAATTAAAAATTGAGTATACGTCATTTATGCAAGAGTATTTCAATTTAGGACATATGCAATTGGTGGACGATTCTACTTATAACAATAAAACTTCATTTTATTTACCACACCATTGTGTGTTCAAGGCATCCGGCATACACTCCAAGTTGAGAGTAGTTTTTGATGGATCTTGCAAATCAGATACTGGGGTATCTTTGAATGATATTTTAATGGTAGGCCCGGTCGTTCAATCGGACTTATTTTCGTTACTAGCAAGATTTTGGTCATTCAAATATGTTTTTACTGCTGACGTAGTAAAAATGTATAGGCAGATACTCGTGGATCCGACGCAAACATCGTTGCAATCCATATTATGGCGAGAGAATGTTGACGATCCTGTATCTACTTATCAATTAACAACTGTAACATATGGCTCTGTCTCTGCTCCATATTTGGCAACTAGATGTTTGAAATATCTAGCGGAACTGCATCAAAGGGATTTTCCTGAAGGTGCACGGGCTATAATCAATGATGTTTATGTTGACGATTTGTTGACAGGCGCACATTCGTTGGCCGATGCAAGCGCCAAACGTAATCAAATTATTGAAATCATGTCAAAGGGTTGCTTCACGCTGGACAAATGGTTCTCCAACTGTATTGAGCTTTTAGAAGGAATCTCTAATAACAAAACGCAAGATTGTGTTTCTATAAATGAAAATTACGAAACTCGTATACTCGGTTTACAATGGAATCCATATGATGATTCTTTTCGGTATACATTCGATGTAGGGAGCATGCATTCAAATATAATGAAGAGGAATATGCTATCTGAGATCTCTCGATTGTTTGATCCACTAGGATGGGTCGCCCCAATCATTCTTCTAGCCAAGTTAATGATTCAAGAGTTATGGAAATTACAATTGCATTGGGATGCTTCGGTTCCCGCCGACATGCATTCATCTTGGCTGGAGTACAAAAAACAAATGCCAAAGTTATCAGAATTACGTATTCCACGAATGATTGGTGTAACTCTTGAAACATTAGAAATTCAATTCCATGGTTTTGCAGATGCCAGTCAACATGCCTATGGTGCATGCTGTTACATACGAACATGCGACACCCAAATGCAATTTCAAACGCGTCTCTTAGCATCTAAATCGCGAGTCGCATCGACAAAGGAAATTTCGTTACCGCGTCTAGAATTGTGTGCAGCTCTTTTGCTAGCTCAACTGCAAGACAAATTGTTAAAGTCAATTGATATCCAACCGTACAAAATATTTCTTTGGACCGACTCCACTATCACCTTATCGTGGATTAGAGCACGTTCACGCAGATTTTCAGTATTCGTTTCTAATCATATCGGTGAAATCCAAAGATTAACTGAAGTAACTAGCTGGCATCACGTCTCTTCAAAACATAATCCCGCGGACATAATTTCTCGTGGGGCGAAGCCTCAGGAATTAATAAATTCACGTTTGTGGTGGAACGGTCCAGAGTGATTGGAGGTAGCTGAGAGTGACTGGCCTGATCAACAACCACAATATCTAGAAATTTTACCTGAGCAGTTAAAGGTCAAAATACATGTGGTAAGACAAGAATCAGATGTGCTGGAGGAGTTAATTGTCAAATATTCCAGTTTTGACAAACTGGTGCGAGTGATCTCATACATATTCCAATTCATTAATAACTGCAGAAATCCGTTTGACAAGCGTGTGAGCACTGTAAATGAGCAGAATCACGAGCATGCACTGCAGGTGTTGTGTAAATACATACAGCAGCGATGTTTTAGCCAAGAGATTCACGATCTGACACATGTCGGAACTGTTTCCAATACGAGCAAAATTTTGTCACTAAACCCACTTTTAGATCAATACGGGGTATTAAGAGTAGGTGGTAGACTAAAACATGCTGATTTAGATTATAAGGCTAAGCATCCAATTTTGTTACCTAAGAATCATACAATCACGAAACTTATTATACACAACAAACACGTAAAAAACTTACATGCGGGAGTCCAAGCAACAATATATGCAGTTCGAAATAAATTTTGGCCAATTTCGGTTAAGGTGACAGCTCGAAATGTCATAAAGAAATGCATAACGTGCTTCAAGCTCAAGCCTGGCAGGTCCCAAGTTATTATGAGTGATCTCTCTAGTGCCCGAGTAAGTCTTTCACATCCATTTGCGCACACAGGCTTAGATTTCGGTGGTCCGTTTATTATAAGAGAACATAAGCGTAGAAATGCTAAACTAATTAAGGCATACATTTGTATTTTTGTATGTTTTGCTACTAAGGCTGTCCACATAGAGCTTGTGGCTGATTTGTCTTCAGACGCCTTTTTAGGTGCACTTAAAAAGTTCATGGCCCGAAGGAGCAAGGTAATTTGTTTATATTCTGACAATGCTACGAATTTTGTAGGAGCAGCACGAGAAATTAGTGATCTTCATAAGCTATTTTGCGAAGAACAAACGAAGCGCAGATTGAACAATTTTTTCACAGAAATGCAAATTCAATGGCAAATGATACCACCTAACGCTCCGCATTTTGGCGGACTTTGGGAAGCAGCCATCAAATCGGCGAAATATCACATGAAGAGGATAATCGGCAATACATCGCTTAACTACGACGAGATGTCCACTGTCATCGCAGAAATTGAAGCCATCTTGAATTCACGTCCTATAAGCCCAATGTCTGATGATCCCAACGATATACAAGCCTTAACACCTGGGCATTTTCTTATTGGACAACCCGTAAATAGTTATGCTTACTCAGATCTTGAGAATATTAAAATAAATCAGCTAAGCCGATGGCAACTGGTAGAGCGTTTGCGACAGCATTTTTGGCAACGGTGGCGAAATGAATATCTCAACACCTTGCAAGGACGTACAAAATGGAAGATGGATAAAGGTGATCCCTTAAGACGGGCCAATTAGTCATAGTTCAGCAACTAGGATTGATGCCGCTCCAATGGCTGTTGGGTCGTGTACTGCGTGTTAACGTGAGTTCTGATAATAAGGTCAGATCAGTTGAAATTCAGACTAAAAATGGAACAATTACTCGGCCACTAACAAGATTAGCTATTTTACCTTTAGATACGTAAGATAATATTTTCTATTATATACTTTGTTACCTGCGTTATAACATAAATTTATAAAACACATTTATAATATACATTGTCATATTAGTTTGCCAGATTGCCACTCAATTTTTAGTCATAATATTCATCTTATATTTCATTTTATGTTCACGACCGCCCGATTTTATCGGACTGCATCAAACAGTTGTATTTTATTTGTTGAAACCAGAAGGTTTCAAGGCGGGCAGTGTTACGTATTCTATGGCGATCCTTCTTTCGGTAATTGCTACCTTAGTTTACGTTGATACGTCGCATGGCGCTAGCGTCGATGGCACTAGGGAGAGCGTGTGGCGCACCGGGCCTCGGGAGATAGATAGGCACTTTTTTAAACTTTCCTTCTTGTTGATCACAAGACACGTTGCGAACATTGTACATCCTGCGTACTCAACTTAAGATAGTGATCAAAATAAACGCATTCCTTTCTTACGAAGTGTGTGTTAGTCATTGCACCAAACTAAATAACGGATATACATATTGCATGGTATCCGTCCGTCGTTTTCATGAACGGCAAAACCTTAACATTGTCAAACAGACAATTATGGAAGTCCAGCAACTCTTGCAGGGTAGGAGGGGGGTGAAAGTCGGCGGTAAGAGTCGTACGCCCCTAAAGCAAGGATGGAGGGGGGTGAAAGTTGCTTCGTGTTGAAAGTCAAAACCTATGTAGAATAGTATTTAATATTGCATATATAGCAGAAATGATACGTCATTTTTCAAACTTCTTTTGTTAATAACTTTTTAACCAATAACGATCCAAAAAAATTTTTTCCTGCTTTACTCTGCATACATGGTTTTCGATACATGGTTTAATTAGGGTTAGGTTATTACACACTCATGAGTATATAAAAACCTAACTCTAATCAAATCATGTATCGAAAACCATGCATGCAGAGTGAAGCAGGAAAAAATTTTCTGTTCTCTCTCTCTCTCTCTCCCTCTCTCTAAGAACAAAAATTATATAATGAAATATGAAAGTCTTGCGCCTCCAAGTAGGGGGAAAGGCGGAGTGAGAGTTACTTCGCGTGGAAAGTTGTAAAATATACTTTAAAGCAGAAAATTTCTGTTTTATATGGTTGGAAAAGAATATTCTTCTTAAACTTTTTTTGTTAATAATTTTTTAACGAAGAACGACCGCCACCTAAAACCTGTTGGAGTTTTCGTAGGTCCATGACCTTGACAACATATGTCTAGGTCAAGGTCATCGGCGTGGTGTCCGTTAATGTATATAATTAATCAAACTTTCGTTTATTGTTGACATAATTTCAGATAAATGAGACAGTAGCAATTCTTCACAAATTGTCCAGTTATAACCTTGATGAGAATTTACGTGAACAGGTAAATAACTATAACAAAATTTTATTTTAGAATTTTAACTTCTTATTCTTAATTTTACTAGCGCTCAAAATCCGGATATCTACATAAATATCAATGAATGATTGTGTACAAAATTGTATTATTGGGTATGGGAATAAGTTTCCGCCCATTGTAGAAAGATGTCGTTAGTAGCATTGCTTGTGTGTTTGATAGAACGGCAACACATGTGTTTGAAAGGTTTGTGTTCAAACTTTTGTGCCCAATAGTTGGCATTCGTCCGAAGCGTAAAAAAGAGTAACTTTTTTTGCGTTGAAGATGTCGGAATTTATTCCAAAAAAGCAACATTTGCGGGAAGTTTTACCCCATTATTTTATTTTAAAGTAAAGTGCTGCAGAATCGTATCGTTTGCTCGTAGATGTTTACGGTGAGCATGCTCCATCGAAAACCAGTAAAGAATGGTTTCGGCGATTCAACAGTGGTGATTTTGACGTGCGTGACAAAGAACGCGAAGGTGCACCGAAAAAATTTGAAGATGCAGAATTGCAAGCATTACTCGAAGAAGATTCATGTTTATCGCTCGATAGGTTGTCAAAAGAGTTAAATGTTGATAGATCCACTGTTGGAAAACGTCTACACGCAATGGGAATGGTGCAAAAAGAAGGAAATTGGGTGCCATACAAATTGAAAGAGAGAGACATGGAAAGAAGTTTGGTCATCTGCGAGATGTTTCGTCAACGACAACAAAGGAAGGGTTTTCTACATCGTATCGTAACTGGCGATGAAAAATGGATCTACTACGATAACCCTAAATGCTTGAAAGCATGGGTGATGCCAGGTGAATCAGGTCCATCAACGTCAAAACGAAATATCCATGCTTCGAAGATTATGTTGTGCATCAGGTGGGATCAGAGAAGTGTTATATATTATGAGCTGCTCAAACCGTCCGAAACCATCACTGGGGATCGTTATCGACTACAACTGATACGTTTAAACTAAGCTTTGAAAGAAAAACGACCGGAATGGGACAATAGGCACAACAAGCTGATTCTGTTACTTAACAACGCTAGGCCACACGTTGCAAAACCGGTCAAGAAATACTTGGAAGGAGTAAAGTGGGAAATTCTGCCCCACCCGTCGTATTCACCGGACATTGCTCCTTCAGATTTCCATTTGTTCCGATCCATGCAGTCGGCCCTTTCTGGAGAACGATTCAATTCTTATGAAGATATCAAAAAATTGCTTGATGAATGGACCGCTTCAAAAGAACCAGAATTTTTTCATTCGAGGAATCTGTTTATTACCAGAAAAGTGGGAGAAAGTTGTCGCTTCCGAAGGAGCATACTTTGAATAAACTCACTTATATAGATTTGTTTAAATAAACACATCTTTTTCTTTTCAAAAAGGGCGGAAACTTATTCTCATACCAATCCATAACAATTGTGTTATTCTTTTATATATTTTAGAATATTTGTACACACATTCTAACGCCACAGGTAAGCTAGAAAAGTTTCAAAAATTATTTATTATTTTATATAACAAAAGCGAGTTTTTGAAAGTTATTTCATACTATCAATATTCTACTATCATAGTATCGTACTGTCAATATTCTACTATCGTACGATCTGTATCCTACTATCACACTATGAATATTCTGAAAAATAAGCTCAATACATTTTGGCATATAGAATTGAAAATAATTTATAAGGGTTTTGTAATTGGTGTTGTTATGTACAAATATCCTAAAAATATATGTAAAAAAATATAATATGTCAAATTAATAAATTCATAGTGTTTTTTTATATTCATTTTTAGTTATTTATTTTTTTACCATTTCTATATGTCGACCTTGCTTCTACTCAATACCCGGTAAAAAATTTTTCATGCATGAGTATGTATTAATATGTATGAACATACATAAACACGCATAAATATTCATAAACATGTATAATTATATATGATATATGTTCATACATGTTCATACATCCTTCTTTCTTTTGTAAAATTACTTTTTAGTGTAATAGAAATAATAATAGTAAAGTGAAAATATAAAATATAATTAAATGGATAATTTTCGTATCGTTTGTTTAAAAAATAAAACAAATGTGGAAAAATATAAAAAAAATTGCTTATACACAATTATGCATAATTTTATATATGATTATACGTAAGTAATTTTTTTACATTTCTTCAAACTTGATTTTTTCTAAAACAAATAGTGCGAAAATTACCTTTTTAATTAGTTTTAATGTTTTCATATTACTATTATTATTTCTATTACACTAAAAGATAATTTTACAAACGAAAGAGGATGTATGAACATTTATGGACATACTTCATACATAATTATAAATGTTTATGAATATTTATGTTTTATGTAAGTTTATACATATTTATACATATTCATGCATGAAAAATTGTTTACCGGGTATGTCGTTAAAAAACATTGTAGTTAAATAATTTAACTCTGGAAAATGTATTAAATTGGACTCAAATTTAATTTATTATTCACTAAGTTCATACATTAATGTGAACGCTTTACTTTGAAACTAAATAATGGATTGATTTTGTCACATATTAAAGTTAAAAATAACAAAATGTCATTAAACGTAAGCGATAGGGTTGTTCTTTAATATCTGCGACAAAGTAATATAATTGGCGTTTTATAATAATATCTTAAATTTACTCATTCATTTGATAAAATTTATGCAAGTGTCCGAACTG